GGTATTCGCAGTTGGTGTGCTATGTATAATAATTTAAGTTCATAAATATTTTAATATTTTTTGCATCGAAACGTAAAAACTTCATATGAGCAGCCACCGCTTTCACATTCATGGCATACATTTTATTAAGAAAAATTCACTATTGCAAAAGCAACAACATAGTTATCAAATAATATTTGTATATATAAACAAATATAAAAAATATCTTTTATTATAAAACTGAAGGAGAATTTATACAAACTTGGGAACGTGATATACCATATATTAATTTTCAAGTTAAAAAAATTTTATGTTTTATTTACTTTATATTTTTTTAGATTCGAAACAACAAACCTTTACCAATAACTAATAGAAGCGTAGATAACGACTTATCCACAACTCTTGATGATACTCACTTATCCTATAAACTATAAAATAGTATTAACTTTAAAGTTCAGAACATATTTTATTACGATTTTTTTATAATTTTATTATTGTTTGTTTGATGGGTATTGAAAAGTTTTCAAAATACAAATTTATTTTATATTCTATTTTTTAAGTAATAGGCTATTAAAGCACCCCGACCTAAAACATCTATTGTGCGTGATTGGTGTGGGCTTAATTTTACCTATTTGACTTGGGACTAAGATCCCGCTTCCATGGTAATCGAGTCTACGTCTTGCCACCACTGGGCAGTTGCATAGAACATGTTCTGATGTTGCCTTCTCCTCATGGCAGAGTCGACGGGAGTCACTTTCTACCACATCTATAAACTTCATGTGGTGATTAAGTCTACAGTATCCTGTAAGAAGTTCAGTTTAGGCCAAGGATAGCATCAATTTTGATGTGATCAGAACCAAGGGTTATTTTATATAGAAAGATTTCGAAAAGTAGTAAACACTACAACAATAAAAATTCTTGTTATATTATTTTATTTAATTGAATTTTTGGTTGACCATGTAGCTATTTTGAGTATTGTCAAACAACCATCATCAGTGGTCTTGGAATTATTTCTTGTATTTAGTCGTAAATAAATTTTATGTTAGAAATTATTTACGAAAACTGACAGACTTATCAACATCGCGTTATCGAATCTCAGAACGGTAACAGGTTCCTCGAGGAGATATGCAGTTCTGAACTCAATTATTGCTTAGTCTGATGAAGTGATAAACAATAATCCGCAGAGAGAGGTTATGAAGAAACCTCGCTGTTAATAGAGAGTAAAAGTGCTCAAGTGCACTGACTCAAATAGCCTCAACATAATAATGAAGAACATAATTATTCAAATGCAGTATCGTTTGCCTGTACAAATGTAGTTTTAGTTTTTAGTTTTTCAATTATATTCAACAATTTTATATAATCTTCGCAATTCATTTTATTAATAATTTTACCAATATTGACTTAGTCATAACCAGCAGAGAGTAACAAAGTCCTTCAAGAACAAACAGTAACACCAAAATCGTCTAACAAATAGAGTTGAACGCAATTGAGTTAAAAGCACAGTAAATTATTGCTTTATACACTGAGTGAAAGTTGGCCTTACTGACAAGTAAATGAATAGATACAATTACCAGCAGAAATAGATAACAGAAATACTGACTAATTGACACAATACTTCAACGATACTTCAATGATACTTAACACATACATTTTCTTGACATTCGCTTGTCAACGTCACTTAATATGACAACCTTTACAGGAGCATATGTCCACTTTACTTATGTCTACTTAAGTGGCACTGCAATAATGTGGTGTGGACATAGGTAACGCCTGTGCACTGAATGAATTATAAGGTATAAAAGGTATGTGAAGTACAAGCAACTAAAATACAATGCTGTGAAATCATTAGGGCAACAACTGTCATACACAAATATTTTCGCAAAACTAATCATTTCATTCAGACAAAGATAACTAACTATTTAGCAGCTTAAGTGAAGCAAATTCTCTTTTAATTAATGTGCAATTAGTTGCAATTCTATATCTGTATTTTAAGTTTTGCTTCAATAATGAACATGTGTATATAACACATATTAGTAATCATTCATTACTTAATAGAGAACTAAATTTTCAATTTGAATACATGAGTACATTATGCGTTATTGGATAGTAAAATCATTGTAGCATTTAACTATATGATATACATTATTTAAAAGTTGTATCTATAATATAACAATGCGTACATGAAATTCTTATAATATAACAACGAAGTGATGTGTAAATATAATATGTATATATATAAACATTATTTAGTATTATTTAAGAAAATGTTTAAGATTAGATATCTAATTGGAAGTACCATGTTTTCTGACAGTAACTTAAATTAATAGTAACTTAAATTTGGTTAGTTAATAGATAGGTATCTACAATTTCATTTCGTTGTGTTGAACAACTAATGAGAATAATATCGACATTTAGTTGTACAACGGTACAACTGAATTGTAGACATTAACGATTACTGATTCAATTTTATTAACAAAAATTTAACAATACAATGCACAATATTATTCAAACACCATTTGAGACAAAATTAATTGTATCTAAAGGCTTCTATGATTTAACAATTTGACGACTAAATATTAAAAAAAACTTTAAGCAATTTAATTAATAGTACATTAATTTAATTTTCTTTAGTCTTCAATAATAATTTTTAAATCCTCACAAAAAAGGAGTTTAGATATGTATCTCTTCTACTTTTACTCATACCTATATGCTCTTCTGTCTCTACAAGATGATTCTCTTGAATCAGTCTTTTCACACTGAAGAGAGTCATAGAGTCATAGAGACGCTTCAGATAAACTGCTACAACTTTAGGTCCTTACTATTGAGAACAGACACCTTATTAAAGTTGTATGGATGGATCAGCTATGACATTTATTAATAACAATCCACTTTTCTCTCAAAATCTTAGTTGAGCACCACTTTATTCCATAATAGAACTCCACACAATTGAATGATAAATGCATCTTTAGCAAGATTATTTGCAGTTCAATACCATGGATTCCCATGTGACTATATAACCAGCAAGCAATATTTTCTTTTTACTTGCCACTTGCTATAGCATTTCGTAGTAGTGGGCCAAGATTCTTGAAAAAATACTTATTTAGTAAAATCTAAATAATGAATAATGTAATTTCTCTCATACAAAAAATCTATACGAAAAGGTATATTTAATAACAATATATGAATGCAGTATAGATGGACTAATAAAATGTCTGATTTTACTGAAAAGAAAGATGGACATTAAAAAATATTTTTGCAATAATCATGAATCCGAATTCTACTCAATGCAATTATATGTAATGAAAAACATGTGTTCAAAGTATTAAGTTCTAGTACCATCTACAGTATACTCGCATAGACAGATGGCTTAGATCTATCACATATTATTTTTAAACACCATAAATATCCATTTGATAAGTTTTGTTCATTAAATTCCAGTACTAAGTGCTTACATGCAGTTGAAAACAGGGTTTCAAATTAGAATTTTTTCCATATCAGTTTTCGTTCCGATTCAAAAAAAAAAATATATATTGTTTCGGTTCCGGTTTCCGCTCCGACAAAAATATCGGTATTTTCCATTTTCAGTTCGGTTCCGGTTCGAAGCCTTAGTTGAAAATCTCAAATATCTGGGCAGTAAGACAAACAAACGAATTTTAATGTATCTATTCATCTGACCTAATAATCACTTCATTGCCTCTATAATGCCTACTATAGTATGTTACAAATATCTTAACAAAATTAATGTATTCTTTTCATATAAGTGAATAATGTACATTAAAAACGTTAAAACGTGCTATCACCTTTTTGTTCGAATGTGTACATATATGTGAGTAAATATATGTATATATATATTGCGTGCATATATGAATATTGCAAGTAAAGATATTTACTTTTGCCAAATCTATAAACCGATTATACTCGTTAGATGGCAGCACACATGAGCTGTTTCCACATCAGTTGCCATATAACGTTACTTACGTTACTGTACTAAAACTATGGAAACAAAAGTGAAACATCCTTTATGACATACGTAAGTTGATTTCAAGGAATCAATAAATTCGAATACTATAGCTTTGGTTTCTATCTGGCTGTTGTAGTATAAATAATATCGCTTGTAGGGTTTGATTATTTTGCTGCTAGCGCTTATCTCTTTGTGATCTCTGTATGACTAAATATTTATCTTATAGTGATGTAATAAATGCGCAT